TATTCCAAACAAATAAAATTAATTGTTACTTTTTATGTTTTAGTTCCATTCAACAAACAATTCAATTCAATTCAATTCAAACGAACACAAATGTAAGTATATAAATTTTCGATTCTTGTTGTTTAATTTTTATGTAATTTAATTTTTTTGATTTTTAAAATAAACTTTATTTAAATAATCCAAATTTTCTTTTCAGTAATAAAATATTTTCAAAGTAACAAATTAATTTTCATGTCAAGAATAAATATTTTGCGAAAGAAAACAAAATCTTTTATTTAATTCATTTCTTTTCCTTTAACAAATAAATAAAAGAAGAAAAGAAACACATGACGTAATCTTATATTTTAGCTTTTTTCTTTTCTTTGAAGCGAAAGAGTAAAAGAAAACTTTTTTTGTTCACTTATTTCAAAGTATAGAAAAAGAAACGAACAAAGAAAAAACAACTCACAAGTTTTATTCGATAGAAAATCGTTGAACACGATGATTACCTGCATCGACGACATAGAGATTACCATGTCGATCGAAAGACAAGCCAATGGGGTGCTGGAGCTGATTTTCTCCTTTTCCTTCTCCATTTCCACCCACAACTACACTGCCTTGCTTCTTGTCTCCTTGAGCCCAACGCATTACACGATGATTATCCGAGTCTGCTGCATAGAGTGTACCCAACGTATCAACGAAGATTCCACTGGGACTATGCAATTGTGTCAGAGCACTCCCTTTGCCTTGCCCTCCAGCGACAACAATACCTTCTTTTGCGCCTTTATTCCATTTCATTACACGATGATTGTAGAAGTCTGACACATAGACATTTTGTTGTCGATCGACAAAAAGATAATGCGTGTAGTTGAGTTGATTGAGTCCGTCACCTTGTCTATTACCACCAGCTACGAGAGTGCCATTCTTCTCACCCAATTGAAATCGTCTTACTTCATGTTTTCCGTAGTCAGAAACGTAAAGATATCTCTGTTCATCCATAGCTAATCCATCACAATCGATGTTATCGATGAGGATTTTACCTTGTGTTGTATCACTACGACGAAACCATCGTACAACTCCTCGATTCATTCGATCACAAATAATGAGACTATCCGTCTCTTTGTCAATTAATACATCAGTTGGACCATTCAATTGATGTAATCTATCTCCTGCGCCTTTGCCACCAGCAACAACTTGTCCATTCGTTGTATCACCGTTCTTCCATTGCATGATACGATGATTATTGTAGTCAGTAATAACCACTGTTTGATCATCATCAACAAAGAGACCATAAGGCTCGTTGAGTTTATTAATGGTACCCCCTCCCCCGTTACCTCCAGCAATAGTCACTCCGTTCTGTTTCCATGTAGCATTAGCAGGAATATTAACTAGAAGAGAAAACATAAGAATAAAAGGAGATCTTTCTCTTTCTCTCTCGAGTATAACTAGTATATGAAATAATTTCGAAAGGATCAAGCAAAATTCCTTGAATAGATCATTCTTTTCTTTTCTAGAAATTCCTCAGAATAAGTTTTTTCTATATACTGGAAGATTATTCAATAGAAAGAACATAGTATATCGTTCTCTCTAATGCTCTTTTTTTGCAATTATATCATAGTGTCTTGTTATGTTTAAGATGAGATTTTTTGCATCAAAATAGTTCTATAGACATTTATATTTTGCTATGTTCTTGAGATGTTATATACATATGAGTCTATATTTTCTATGAACAGACAAACATAATAATTATATAACGATTTATTTCTTATATGAGTTTATTATACGCGTTGTATTATTTTCTTATGATCAAAATATATTTTTGCTAGGTTAGTCATGGGTTAAACCAAAGATAACCCGAGGGTTGGCCGATTGGGTTCATATGTTAAGCTTGACCGATAGGTTAGGGTTTTAAATTCTCAAATAGCCGGAGGACTACGTTGGGTTGGGTTAGGATTAACCCATGGGTCACCCAACCCGGTGGGTAGCCGTGACGACTCAGCCCATCTGGCATCGCTGGTGTCCCAGGTGAATTTTCGGTAGAAAAAAAGTTCCCAAAAATATTTAAAATATGCATTGTTCGACTCAGTTTTTTGCGCTGGTTCCAAATATGTTATTCATTGTGGCTCGAATTGTAGCTTTTATAAGAAAAAACTCAATTTTCAGATTTAAGGCCTTATGAGTCCCACTTTCTTTATTTTATTTTTGACAAATTCAAGCACTTGCTAGTCATGAATAATCAATTGCACCATTAATTTCCGTTAACTCTACACTCATTTAGAGTCAATTCTATACCGATTTCAGACCAATTCCAAGTCAAGAATTGGTGCACCCCTGCCTGCTAGATACTTTTATCTTAAAAGCATTGAACAAAGCTATTGTGAATGATAGAGCAGTGACAATCATGTGACATTGAGATTTTTGCATAGATGACCCCCTAACAGGTTTATTTATGATTCTATCTCAATAAACTGTAGTTTATACATAGAAAATCTTTGTAGTACTGAATATCTTTTTTTTATAGATTGCACGAGGAATGATGCTAAAATAATTAGTGTTTCCGATATTGTAACACTTATATGTATTATGATGGTAGTATATTTTTTAAGTCATTTAACCTATTGTCATACGCTTGTGATGATCGAATCAAATTTATATGAGTTTGTTAGATATTCGCTAGTAATGGATATCTAGTCCGATTGCGGTATCCCTACTTGAAATTTTAAGTATCTTACTACAATACACAGCCTTCATTATTTTCATGAATTTTAAATATTATATATTCAATGAAGCAGAATTAATATCTATAGTTATGATGAAAAACTCGTTTTATTAAATGAGCAAATACGTTTATGGTTAGAAGCTATTCATGGAGACGCTTCTATTGAACTGGACAAACTGAGTGGTGTCACATATCCAAAATTTTGGAGATGCCACCACATCTCCCACAGGAGATGCCGCGTCTCCCGCTGGAGACGTGACACACTGTAAAAAAAAGCGCAGAATAATCAACCCTTGCCCTTGATTTTCCTTTTCATAAACTCTTGAGGGGTTTATGAGGGTGGCATATACCCTTGAAGGGTTCATGATCCAAAGGGTTTTTGAGCGTAAGGGTATTTAAAGAGGCACAGGGTATATGGAGCTCTTTTAAGGGTTTTGTATTTCATATTTTAAGGAAAGCAGTTTATTATTAAACGATTAGGGATAGATTAATAAACGCATTTTTCACAAACGTTTCTAATTCAGCAATGAAGGGTATATTATTATTCGGTTCAAAGAGAGGGTTTATTATAATACGCTAGAGGGTAGATTAATATTAGCTACTATTCAAAAGGGTATATTAATCTACGCCTAAGGGTAGGCTATTGTACGGTTTCAGACAGTGTTTATCAATCATTTATACATGTTCTCCATATATTTTATATTCAAAGATATTTGTTAAAAATGATTCATCATATATTAACTTATCTTTTTACTAATAGTGTTTTCTTGTTTATATTTAAATCATCATGATCCGTTAATAAAATTTTGCAACCAACTTTTCATCTTAATTGACTAGCATTCTCTTGATAATCTGCTGTCAAGTATCAACATGTAAGTATTATTAACCATTTCAATTCATATTGCTTATATTCAGGAAACATTCATGAAAAACGTTTTTTTCAGGTATCAATCTATTGTCATTTTATAAGTAGCTTCTTCTCAGATGGACAAGAACAACTATTAAAACTTTAAATCCGTGCTTTTATATCTTGATGAATTACTTCCTGATCATACCGAAATAACGGAACATTAGCACGTAACTGTCATTTAGAATTTCTTCTATCTCTTTTCTATTCAAAAACATTGCTTAAAAAGAATTCACCATAAATCAATATGCTTTTTCATTAATAAGGTTTTTTGTTTATTAAGATTGATACAATTAATGGGATAAGCTCCTCACAAAGATTTCCCCCTTCATTCATCTGTATTATTTCATCCTTCAATGTCAACCACAAAGTATGTGTAGCTTGAACTCTTTTTTTTATATTCAAGGCAGTTTCCGTGGATAAGATTCTTCAGATATTCATCTATTCTTTTTAATAAATAACTACTTTTCAGATCAACAGTAATAACTAGACAGGCGCTTCATTGTCGGGCGTTTTTCTTGACCAATTCAGTTTCCGATCATCTGGAAACGTAAAATGAGATGAAAAATAAATTAGGTTACAGTTTAGTTAATATTTTTTGTATCCAGAGGAAAATTCTTTAGAAATTATTCTTATTTCAATGCATTTTTTTATTACTAGTTTCTTTTTTTCGCTTAGATGATCAGCAATAGTTAGGATCGCAGTCGTGTATAATTTCTGTTTATTTTTCAGGTTCTGTTCAGCTTGTGCTTCTAAACGTATTTATTTGGTATGGGTGATTTACAATTTTCCTGGAAATCGCTTCTACTGAGGAAAGTAGTAACAAATGTTTTCAATATATTTTTGGTTTTTTAATATCTAATCTATTTTATTTTATTTTGCATTAGCATATGCTAAAAGTTTAATAGTGTATCAAA